GATTACAACAGTACAATCCACAACAGGTCATGGGCACAGAATCGGGCAGCATTTTGTACCTCTGTGCAAACGGTCACCATGAGTCAGGGGCTGACTGCTCGGCAGCCAACAATAACAGCCGTTTAGGTAACAATTTTCTCGTTAATACTTACACAGCAAATGTATTTAAACACAGTAACTACCTGTATACCCAATCTGCCCCAAGACTCACTGGGAATCCACCAATCTTTTTTGTCATCCATGTCCTTCTGGCCTCAAGTCCTTTCTAATTTCTTACACATAATAAATATTTAGGTCAGAAATTACAGAACAGAAAACAATGACCTTTCCAGAAGGACCTTTTAGTAGTATCAATACTTCTCCATGAACCTCAGATGTTACCTTGGGCCTGCTAACCTTCTATCCTTGATTTCTCTGGTTTAGAATAAGAATAAACTACCCCAGGTATGAATCTCCTCTACAACATACTTAATAAATGCTCTTTAACCTTTACTTAAAACTCTCCAGTGACTTAAAGAACTCCATTTTTAGTTTAGTTAGAAAGTTGTCCATTTTATTTACAGAAATCTTCCTTCCTATAATCTCTATCCATTTGGTCTAGTACTGCTTTTGGCATGGAGAATAAAACAGCTATCCTATTCCCCCTTTGAATTCTCTCTTCCAGGCTAAATTCCTTACCCTTCACTTCCTATTGCCTTCCATACAAAGGTTACATCAAGGAGGTCCTCCATCCTATCTCAAATTGCACCTTATTCCTTTCCCTGTCCTTTTAAACTAGTACTTTTCTTCTTACAAACTTTGTACCTTTCTCAGTAGATTCCTTCCATATCAAACGACTTCCATTAACATTTCATTCAACTCTCTCCTAATCTCCAAGCTTCATTTTTGGGAAACCCATTCCGGGGAGACCAGAATTAAGACTTGATCTTGAACTGTATCGCCGGAGAAAGATGTGGCAGTCTGCTTCCATAAAGATTACAGCCTTGGAAATCCTATGGAGCAGTTCTACTCTGTCCTATAGGGTCGCTATGAGTTGGAATCGACTCGATGGCAGCAGTTTTGGTTTTTTGGGGTTTGAACTATACACAGGACTTCCTATTCCTCTTCTATACAATGTCACAGACTTGGCCTTTCTGCACCCATTTTCACTCTTCCCAAAACACCTCTATCTTCTATACATGCTTCAAGGCTCAGCTCAGAGATGACCTCTTCCAGGAGATTCTTCTACGACCAAGCTACCTACACTCCACGCTGGCTTAGGAAATCTCCTGCAAGCTTACAAATTGGCACCCTGTGTACATCTTGAGAAAACACTTTCTATTTTGTATTGTTATCTGTCACTAATGTAATGTAAAGCTTCCTGATAACACACTTCTGGTTTCTCTGTAATATCCAGCATAATCAAATTATTCAAAGAAAACAAATAATCTCATCCCTAAATATTATAATAAAGCTTAAATATATCCAAAGACACTCCAAATCACCATTTTTAGGCCTTCTACTTTAAAATAGGAATAATTTTAGAAGTATTTAGGAAATCCTGCTGTTTCCACTTAAATAACAATACTTTAAAAACTACAATCTTAAAATGTTGCTACCATAACCATACCTTCCTACATCTGTATCTCTCCCTACTCTCCATTAGTTTTCCAGTTATTTCAGAAAAATTATTTCACCCAAGGGCCTGACTGAGTCTAATATTGTTCTGGGAGGTTTTAAAAGACTCACTCCTTAGTCCCCTCGACTACACTACTTGCCTGTATTACTTTTTTTAACCTGTAGTTAATTAAAAAACAAAAATTAAACAATTATTTTATGAGATTTATAAAAGACATATCATTAACGCAGGGAGTAGGGAAAGGTTCTTAATTTACTGTTGCCTACTGCTGAATAACAGCTGCACAGTAATTCCCTCAACAAAAAAATGAAAGGAGGGAGAAGTAAAAGGCCCACATGGCAATAGATAGCACGGCAAAGACCTTCAAAAAGCACATACCCTTTGAGCCAGCAATACCACTAAAGAACAGATGTGAATCAATATTTATATAAAAGCATGTTCACTGCAGCATTGTATCAGTTGGGAAAAAAAAATAAAGAAGCTGAAGTATTCAACAATTATCGTTGTTAGGTGCCTCCAAGTTGATTCCGACTCACAGCAACCCTACAGGACAGAGTAGAACAGTCCAGAAGGCTAAAATCTTTAGTGGAACAGATTGCCAGGTCTCTCTTCTCCCGAGGAATGGCTGGTGGGTTTCAACTGCCTACCTTTTTTTAGTTAGCAGCCAAGTACTTAAGCACTGTACCACCAGGGCTTCTATTCAACAATAAGAAATTGGTAAACTTTAAGTTTATAACAGAATGAAGCCATCAAAGCAAGTGATGTCACAAAAGAATATATAACAATTGGGAAAAAGTTCTAAATAAATACAAAAGCAGGTTACAAAACAGTATCTGAAGTATACAAGGTGAACTACACTATCAACGATGTGGCTAAAAACTGCTGGAAGATTCAAACTGGATATATCTAATGCCTAAAGGTTCTATGATATTAAATTAGATCATGTGACAGAACAAGGCAGTAGTAACACTAGGTAAAAATGACTGTAGCTGTGTTGCAGTGTGTTCTGCCAAATTACATGCCCAATCTTAGAACTTTAGAACAGCCATGACATCATCCTCAGGATGAAGTTTCTTAAAACATTTCCCTACTTATTTATTGAGTTACCACCACCAATTGGCATGAAGATTTTTTCCAATCTTGTTCATAATACAAAGGCAAGTGCACAAACACTCCACAGTACTGAAGTGTAACCCCTCAATGAGCTATCAATCTCATTCTCATTAAACTTGCTTGGTCTTCAAGAAGGTCTAATAAAGACTGGAAGAACAGTTCACAGTCAGTTATGTAAGGACTTTAAGGATAACAGCAGGCAAAAGAGAAGGTAATACTGACTGAAATGGTAACTGGGCTTAGAAGCAATCATAAGGACCTTCCTGAAACCCCAGCAGCTCTTCTTACAGAAAATAAACCAAAAGATAATTTGACACAAACATAATCAAAGCCTTTTAATTTTTTTTTTTTTTTTTTTTAGTGGTTTGTTCACCACCCTGAGAACAATTAGGATACTCACTAATTGAGTCTTTATGGACTGGTTTTGCAAAAGAACCGTTAGCTTAACAAAGACCCTAAGCCTTGATTACTGCGCTCACTCTATGAAAACATTAAAAGGGTTGGTCAATGCCAACATATGAATCTCACACCTACTTATGAAGCTCAATTATCATTCTCCGAAGCCACTCAAGTGAATCTAATCCAAATACACACTCGATTAGAAGCTTATATATGAAAGTGAGCAGTTCTAACCTAAGTTTCCCCACTGGTCCTAACACATATAGGTTTATCCTATGTAGTAGGCATTCCTAAAAAAAAATTCCTGTCTTTGTCTTACTGTTTTTAATCACAAGATGTACAGGTAGGAAAGACTTTGCAAAATGAAGGAAAGCAGACTCATAGTAAGTATAGATATTACGTGTGTTTCATGTTCCAAGTACCTGGATGTCTGTCACACATGTTGATAACCTGCTATGCCTCAGAAGACATCTTTAGAGTCCTTCAAAAAAAAACCAGTAAACTATCCTTTTCCACGGGATTACGGCAGATTTTAAATTAAACTGTTAAACTCTGGAGAGGGGTGTTTAAAGGACTATCAAAAAGGAGAAAGTTTTTCTGACAGCCAACTTTTCAATAATCTGGCTTTCTATCCCCAATGTTTTTCATGTCGTGTCAATTTCTTATTCATCTGTACATACTAAGAGATAAGATGGCAACCATCCTGCTTTAGTTGAAAGGCTATGTACCTCAGAGTTACATGTTACAGAGATGATCTACCAAAGAACTCTCCTATTGCGGCTTACAAAACAAAGGAATAAGTTTTCATAAGTTAATTAACGGTTCTTATAACAATGAGTGTCTCAGATTCTAGACCAAATATCAAAAATCCCTATGACTGCATGATAAATTTAATGAAAATATATTTACATAAGCTTGTTAGGTTTTACCTTGTATTTTATAATTGAAGCTAAACAGTTCAGAATTCTCTCAACAATTAATGCAAAAAAATTTTTTTTCCTGCCCACCTTTCATCTACTTCCTTTCTGTATTTAAGTAGGTCTAAATTCTAATATACGATCTGTCCCAACTAGTTTTTTAATCATCCTCTTATGGTTTACATGCATTCAATACCCACAAAGTAAGCACTAACCCAACTGTTTCAAGTAAGTTCAACTCTTTAGTTTGAACCCATTCTCCATTACTCCACCCAAGATTTGTGGAGATGGAAATAACACTTCTTCCCACTTCCTACAAAGGAAGTCAATAGAAAGTGACCTTTCAGGAATATAATATTAAGGGCAAGAGAACAGCATTTTCTGAGTTTTCCAAGGTTCATATAATAAACATTAAACTTTTATAATGAGAAGGCTTGGGATAAAACAAGCAAGCTGAACACCACCAAAGAGCCAGGAAAAAGCCTCTTAACACTACCGGTTGTCACAGGCAGGTAGAAAAGCCTGTGACACATCAACTCTTGAAAATAACCACAATACCCGAGTTAAGCCAAAGGTTGGTTAATGCCAACAGAGAATTTTCTTCCTGCCATATTATGGCCTCAACCTCTTCTCACTTTAATTTCCATAGTTCTATCATTTCAAATATTCCCTTTGCATTTCTTTCATTCTTCACCTCTTTCCGTATTATGTAATTTCAGTTTCTCTGCATTGTTTTTCCTTTCCTTCAATTTAAGCCCACATTTCTGCCCTCTACTGTTCCTACATTCCTTCATACTGGAGTTCAAACTGTAAGACCAATTATATTTCCACAAATCCTTGAACTGTTAAGCGATAGCTATATTATTTACAGAGCTTTTACTAATGGTTTACATTAATACCTCTCCTAATTCCTCCTCCTTGCCTAAAAATCTTAAGAATGGTAAGCTGGTTACCTTTTTAACACTTTCTTCTTCCTCTTGGCGTTTCTCATAGTGTGAGAAGTCATCAAAAATGGAAGTGGTGTGCTTGTAGCTGGCTATGATTTTCAACACCTGCTTAGCCTTTTCCAGAGGCACTTCTTGAGTGTCCCTGGAGTTGGTCACTGGTTTATTCTCGTTGTTCTCTAGACGAATGTGTCGCAGTTGGCTATTGGGAACGTCCTTCACAAAAATCCACCTGACATCAAAACGACCCTTCCATTTGTCCTGGGACCACACACCTGCACATGTGTTGTAGTCCACAGCAGATTTCATTTCTGCAACGCCACAAAAGTGTCCACTGCCGTTGACACTGAAAAGTAAGTAAACGGGGCCTTTCCCGTTCATGGAGCGATAAGCTGCATCCAGTCTCTTGTTACCATGCTCTGTGCTACACCAAATATTATACTTTATGGAACGGTGGATATCGTCCTCAGAGTAGCTCTTAATGATGAAAACCCGGCCATGTTTCAGATTCCAGTCAAAATCCTTGGGGTTATAGTTATTAATGGATCGCAGCTTCTCCAACACTGGATGGGGCTCTGAAGGAGCAGATCCAGAACCAGCCTGAGACTGTCCTACTCCATTACCATCCACCCCATTATGACCAAACCCACTGCCACGGTTCCGAGGTGCTACCCAGCGGGCTGGCTGAGCTGCCTGTTGCTGGACTGAGAGCTGGGCAGGCTGTGGTGGAGGTGGGGGCAATGGCTGTGTCTGTTGCCCTACTGATGCCTGAGCCACTGGTGGGCTATTGTTAGCCTGCTGACCTAGAGGTTGGGGAGACCCCTGGATTGCCTGCTGACCTATATTCTGAACCAAAGCCTGCGAGGGGGCTTTTGCCACAGGACCCTTGTTATCCCAAGTTCCAATGTCCATGTTATGCTTTATAGGAGGTGGTGGAAGACTTGACCCTGCAATGCCATTCTTGGTCTTCAACTTAGGTTGCTGTTTTGCAGGCTTACTAGCAATATCAGCCCAAGATGCTGGTTTTGGAGGAGCAATGGTAGCTGGAGGCAAACTACTGGAAGCCACGATGTTACTAGTAATAGACCCACTACCAACAGCAGAACCTACAACTTTTGGAACATTGCTTGCAACTTCCGTGCTACCCAACTTCAGTGCTGCCATCCCTTGGTCTATAGTATTCATGCCAGGAGCCTTATTTAGGGTCTCACTGGCAAAAGCTGACTGTCCATCAATCATGGCTCCACCTAAGGAGCTAGGTGCGTAAGCATAATTGCTACTGTATCCAGAGCTCTGAGTAGACTGTCCCTGAGAACTGTTATTTCCCCACGCTGAGAAGTCAATCCCACTGGGAAAGAAATTAAAACCATGCTGACCAAGAAATGGAGTGCTACCTAGGGCTCCTGGTTGCCCAAACATTGCATCTGGTAGGAAGTGGGGTTCTCCGTTGCTCAGTTGTCCATAAGAAGTAAGATAGGGCATGGCTGTGTCACCCCCAGTAGACCAAGCAGCTTCCCCTAGAGAATAGGAGAAGCCAATAGAGGGGCTGTAGTAACTGGGTAAGTAGGAGTCTGACATGGCAGTATATGCACTATTCTGTGGAGGCAAAAAAAAAGGCAAATAAATTAAAATTAAACAAAAATAAGTAAAGTAACAATTAAGACATTCCCTCCCCCAGCTGTTTCAGCCATTACTATGAAAACAGAGTGGCACATTTCAGATGGTCTGTTCCCATAAAGTCGCTGGTATTGAAACTGTTTAAACGTTTAAAGTTAAACTGATATATACTGATATACCAAACCCACTGTCATCAAGTCAATTCCAACTCACAGCGACACTACAGGACAGAGTAGAACTACCCCCTAGGTTTCCAGGCTATAAGCTTTATGGAACCAGACTGCCATACCTTTCTCCTGTGGAGCAGCTGGTGGGTTTGAACCGCCACCAGCCTTTTGGTTAGCAGCGGAGCTCTTAACCACTGTGCCATGCAAGGCCCTTATATGCTGATATATGGGCCTTAAATTTAGCATTCTGATTCAGAAAAGGGAGAACCTGGTATTTCACCTACAATGTAAGTCTTGCTCTACAGAAGTGTTGATTTCAATTAAAATCACTCTCTTTGGATTTAAGGAGAATTTTGGCAGAATGGAGGAGTGTTCAAGAGTTTCCTCCTAAAACGCACTACAACAGATCAAACAAGAAAAACAAAACAAAAAGAACTGGAAGTTTCGTGATCTAGCTCAAACATTTAAGATCTAGCTCAAACATCTGTGCAGCCATTCCTCAACCATAAACCAAAAAGGTTCACTACATCCAGTTTAGAGTGTTAGCCTCCTGGCAAACCATCTGGGAGAATCAATAAATGATACTAATTAAAACTGGAGAGAAAATACATAGTGGTTTCTAGAGGATTTAAAACTAGGAAAAAAAAAATGTTGCTACTTGGTTTACTTCACTTATAAAATTAATGACTATAAGCTGAAATGCATACCTAACTTTTCCATTAGAAACAGGACTATAATTCTAAAAACACTGTCGTCTTTATCTTTTAGAAAAAAATCATCCTAAATAACTACCAGGAACATGAACTTTTAAGTCTTCACGTTAGAAGACAGATTACATTCAAAAACCTCAATCACTCTTGAGCCGAACAGTATTTTAACTTTTTGTAAACTCTATCGCTCACACAATAATCCCTTAAGTGAGAAGTCAGAGTTATACAAAGTCGGTCTCTATAGGTGTACACACAGCACAACTAGTACTCTATCTCCAAAACCGTTTGGGTAATCTAAGAATCCATCAACTAAATAATAGGAAGTTGTGTCCTTAAGAAAGATGGATGACCACGACTACCTAAGCTTGTATTACACCAAGCCCAACAGTACCTCTCCCTAGCTACTAAAACACAAGAGTAAATTTTTCAGCTAATGCAGTTTGATAAAATGGTGGTGGCTTTTCTCTGCCAATTTAACTTTTTTCTTTAAAAAGAGTTTGGTGTTTTCACACATATCCTCTCAAATTTCAGCAGTCTGTTTCTTGAAGATAATATTAAAAATGTAAACCAATGGATTAAGCCTGAAATATTACCCCAACATAAGGGAATAAAAAAATTACTAAAAAGTAGGTGGATTACTCCGGACTACATCTACTCTGTACTACAACCACAAAGGACAAAGATTATCAAGCTACCCTTCTTCCTCTACTCAGCCAAGATGTTGGTATTTCCTCAAACTTCTTTTTTAAACAGACATTTAAGCTTTGGCTTAATAAAGAGAGAAAAACCAAATGCACTTAACATCACAGATTATGCCAAAATAAAGCTGAATGCCTACACCTAAACTGGCTGGCTGCCACATTACACAATATTTTACAAGAACTACCTAGAATTATGTTTCTAAATGCACCCGCTATCACTGTTAAAATGATTATGTAAGTAAACTGATTCAATAGCAGGAACCTATTAATAGTTCATTCCTCTATTTTCTCCCCCCCTTTCCTGATTAACTGGTTGTCTTCTGCAAAAACATCTTTTCAATCACTTGCTTAGGTGGTTTCTATTCTTTAAACACAGAGAATTTTAAATCGGGGATCTAAAAGTTTTATGTAAAAATCAGGTTCAAATATGGGCATACACTAATATATCAAGCTACTTAAGACTACAAACTATAATTGATACAGCGTCTGTTCCATAAGCTTCTTCATCTTTTAGGATATTTTCTATCGTGCTTTTGGTTTATTAATCTAAGGAGTTATTTTTATTAGCTACAACTTTGTGGCTGTTTTTGAGACCCAGAATGATAATATAAAAGAAATGCTGAATCAAAACAAGTTTCTACACGCACAGGCCATATTAGTGTATAAACTTACGTGCAACTAGTCTCTGCATTCGAAGACAGATTACATTGCAAAAACCTCAATCACCCTCGATCTTACTTTAGTTTGTGCTGAAGAGTATTTTAACTTCATTTAATTTCATTTTTGTAAATTCTACAGCTCACAGAACCCCTTAAGCGAAAAGCCAGAATTACATAAAGTTGGTTTCTACAGATGTAGATACAGCTCAACTCAAAATAGAGTACCCTGATGCCAAAATAGTTCTGGTAATCTAAGAACCCACTAACTAGTGAACAAAGGAAAGGAAGAAAACTAGTTTTGCAGCACTGATTAAAGTTCAGGTGATTTTATATTAGTGCTTCCCATCACACATTAATCCAACTTCCCTAAGGGTAAAAGTTTTTGGTAGTGAAAATTCAGAATATTTAACACTGGAAAGTACTTTTAAGTTCTGCACTACTATATTCTCAGCAAGGAGGGAGTATGATCACTCATACAGGTGTTACTGTCAGTACACTATAAAACGTTATCAGTTATTACCTCAGAATAGTGTGCTTGCTGACAAGAGAGATGGGATCTTAACAGTCTCTGTAACATTTGTAATAACTGTTTTATAAGACATTAGCAAGTATTAAGAAAGTCACCCTCTGAAAATCAGATTTGTTGAGATAGGGCAGAGAAACAATATTAGCATACTACACCCTTTGATCAGACATGTAAATGGTTAACTACTCACGGGCCTTGCCTGCGGACTCAAGTAAGGTTCAAAATCATCATCATTTAATCCATCCTTTTGATGTACAGATCCATTTTGTACTAAAAGGGAAAAAACATCAAATTAGGAGTGTCTCAATCCTACAAATTCCCTCCCAGATTAATTTATCCTAACGAGAGAAAAAAACCTGATGAGTTAACAAAGCAAGTAAGTTTGAATTTCAAAAGGATACAGACAAGAGTGAAAGTTGAGCAATATTAGTGAAAATGTCTCCCTCAACCCAGAGAAAGTTGATCTAAAAAAGGTTATTTTATTGGCTCCTCTAGATTCCAATTCTTTCCCGCTTCCCCTCCCCCATCACATGTGAGTACTTCCAGAGTGTGATCCACGAGTATGAAAAACAAAGGCCTTCTAAGACCTACAGGAAACTAAGGACCTGGGACATTTCAAAACCGAATCCACCCCCACCCTTAATGAATTACTCCTGGTTCACTACAACGCTGTTCGCCAGCTGCACGAACACATCAAGGGGGTCAAAATACTTAAGAGTGAAACACCTGCGAACTAGGCGGCTTACGAAAGGTCCTCTCCCAAGGGCGCTTCCCGGAGACCCCGCCCCCACTACTCGGCATCCCCCGTCCCGGCCCAGGGCTACCGGTGGAGCTAGGCTCACCTTTGTTTCCTTGACCTTTTGGTCTCTGCGGGCGAAGGTAACGTTGTCGAGCAGCAGGTTGTCCGAGGAAGACATGGAAAAGGAAAGAAAGATTAAAGCACGGCCCGATAAGAAAATAAAGGGGCAAGCCTGAGAAAAGCCATCAGGAATGGTGGTGAGGGGGTGGTTAAAAATGGGAGGCGGGGAAAAGCGCTAGGCCGGCAGAGCTGGGGAGAAAAAGCGGGGGCCGCGGCAACAACAACGAGAGGGGACTGGGGCTTCAAGGAAGGGGAAAGAAACAAGGAAGAAAAACGAGGCCCGATGAGGCGAGGGAACGCGGCGCGGCCGGTGGGCTCCGAGACCCGTGAGGAACCAGGGAGACCGGGCGGAGGGTGAGGCGCTGGGCGCGGCCAGTCTGAGAGACCCGATACCCGGCCCGCGAGAGGCGTCGCCTCGGCTCGACCCGGCCCGGGGCACCGGGCCCGGGCCTAGTTGGGTTCCCTCCCGCCTCACACAATGGCCGAGGCATGCGGGCCGGGCCTGTACCTGCTCCAAAAGGCTGCTGGCCGACATGGCTCTCGGATCCTCACGGGTAGCGACGGCAGTGGACTCTCCTCAGGGCTGCGGTGGCGGCGGATGAGCCCCGGCGACAGGAGCAGGCGGCGCGGCGGCGGCTTTTGTCCCCTACACTCGGGGGCCTTGGCGGACGCAGCAGAGACACAGCGCGCGACTCAGGCTCCGGCTCCGACTCGACGACGCTCTAGCCGAAGCGCTCAACGCCCGTCTCTATGCTTTTACGCGCGTGCCCGCCCCTCGCAGCCGAAATAAGAGCGCCGAGCGGCAGAGGCGCACAACGCGCGCGGCGCGAACGCTGACTCTCACTTTCACTCACACACGCGGAAGGGGCTTCGCGCGAAGCACCCCGGGAAAGAAGAGGCGGGGCCGCGGCGCCCCCTGGTGGACCGGAGGAGTGGGAGCTGTGCACGCAGGACCTTCCCGCACCCACCGCCTCCGGGTAGGGGCCTAGGAGGGCGGGGGGTGGCCAGGGTCGCACCACGAGGTTTTGATCAACACCTAGAGAGAAAACCTACAAAAGCCGGTTTCTAAGTGAGGGAGCGGCCCCTGGAGCCCGACAAACCTTAAAATAAACCTACTGCCCAGCTGCAAATGACACCTCAGCCCCGTCTGGTAGGAAACCTGGAAAGAAAGGGGTCACAGAGCCCTCAGGGAAACTTCTTGGGGGTCTTGCCCTGGGAGCGAGGCTCCCACAGGGGGCCTGGTCACCTTCCTCTGCTAACAGAAAGTCTATTAGCTGACTGCAACAAAGCTGCCCAGAGGGGCAAAAATATACGCAAAAAATGGGTTCCCCTGCAGGAGATTCAATCCTTAGCACTGCAGGGAGAAGAATCTACAATTCCTTTTTAGGGAAGTCGCTGGCCCGCGTGATGATCTGTTAAACTGTGAACTTTAATTCCAAGAAAAATACACCTCACACATCTACCCAAAATTTTACATGTACTTTTAGGGAGCCCACAGAACCTATAAATCTGTGGACCTCAAGAACTGAAAGGAAGGGAATTAGCAGTATTTAATACCTGCTGTGTGCCAGGCTTTGTTACTAGGTGCTTTCAGTCTTCAAAACAGCTGTCAGTCTTTTTTTTTTACAGCTGGGGAAATGGAAAGGTTAAATAATGTGCCCAAGGCCACAAAACTATTAAATAGCCAGGTTCATCTGACCCTAAGAGGAACATAATAGTGTCCTTCCACCCCCAAGGGAGAAATCCTGTATTCAGAATCCAGAGAAGATCCAAAAGATGGGCAAAAACATTTTTAATCGGAGGCAAATCCAACTTACGCAGGGACATCTGATCCCAGAATAGCCATCTCCTAATAGCTTTTGTTATAGCAAATAGCAATAAACAGATAAATAATGCACTATTAACTGTCAACCTGATACTCATCCACCCCCTGGATTCAGAAGGCTTTGGAGGACTCAGTAGTAAAATAAATAATAACAACATCTTGGATTTTACATCACATTTTGCTTGGAAGAGCTGAAAGCATTTTTTTTTTTTTACTCAGAATCACAATTACAGTTGGAATGAATAAGGTTAGACACCCAGTGTGATAGGCTTTTAGTGAGACAATAAAATGTCAAGTCTCAGAGCATGGATCCCACCTGAGGAATAAAAGAAACCTAAAAATACTTTTCCTTCTTTTTTTTTTTTTTTTTAGAGAACCAGTTAACCCCACGACCCAAATCTATATGTAAACTGTGTAAGCAGTTGCCTGCGCTTACCCTGGGAGGCAGCATGGTATAGTAAGAATATTAGGCCAGAAGTCATATTCTGGGAGGGAATCTAAAATACTTGCCTCCCCACCAGATTTGTAACATCAGGTAAATTACTAATCTTCTCTGAGATTCCGTCATTTGATAAATGGGATACTAATATCTACTCAACCAAAAAAAAAAAAACCTGTTGCCGTCCAGTCGATTCCAACTCATAGTGAACCGATAGGACAGAGTAGAACCGCCCCATAGAGTTTCCAAGGAGCAGCTGGTGGATTCAAGCTGCTGACTTTTAGGTTAAGCAGCTGAGCTCTTAACCACTGCACCACAAGGGCTCCATCTACCTTACAGGGTCATTGAAAAAGAGGAAGACCCTCAAGAGATGGATTGACACAGTGACTACAACAATCGGCTCAAACATAGCAAAGATGGTGAGGATGGTGCAGGACAGGGCATTGCTTCATTCTGTAGTACATAGGGTTGCTATGAGTCGGAACTGACTCCACAGCGCCTAACAACAACAGGCTACTTAGGAGTCCTGGTGGCACAGTGGTTAAAGAGCTTGGTGCTAACTGAAAGGTCATCAATTTGAACCCATCAGCTGCTCTGGGGAAGAAACATGTGGCAGTCTGCCTCCATAAAGATTATGGTTTTGGAAACCCTAGGGGGCAGTTCTACTCTATAGGGTTACTATGAGTCTGAACAGGTTTGATTTGATTTAACAGGCTTATTGTAAAAATAAAGTTAAAAAAAAAAAAAAGACATTAAAGCAGAACTGGCATAGTGTAAGTTTCTTTCCTATAATTCCATTAAGGGATGGTAGTGAAAATTACCTCCTTCCAATAATATCTTCCTGGTGCCTAAAATTTTGATTAGTTCCTTTGGGATCAACCACTGTTCTCTGGAGTTCCCATTTAAATGCAAATACCATCAGGGGAAGGATGATTCCTAAACCTGGATTAGTTCACCAGATTGGCTTTAACAGGAGAAAGAAACCTGAAGAAACCAAACACACAGACTGATATATTTTTCACTGGGAAGAGGGAGGGGGAAGTCTTAAGTGTAGAGTATCACTTTAAAGAGACAGACCCTCATAGTTTGGAGAAAAGATACTATACTGGACATGGATTAGGTTCTTGTTTCAGCTCTGCCACTGGATGGAAGAAGCATTCAAGCCCTCTTTCAACAAGTATTTATTGAGGGCCAGATAATGTGCTAATTGTTGGGGAGTCTTAAAACAGATCACCTCCCCCTGAAATTTATAGACTAGTCAGGGAAACTGACAGTAAGCAAATAGTCACTCAGACATTTAATTACAGTTGTGAAAAGTGCAATGAGGAAGTACAGGCAGACCTAGTCTAGTCAGGGGTCTGAGGAAGTGTTCTCTGAGAAAGTAAGTTTTGGCAGAGGCCTAAAGGATAACCAGAAATTGGCCAGGCAAGAAGGGAAGGGAATGGAGGGAACAATATGTGCAAAGGCCCTAAGCAAGGAAGGAGCTTGGCACTAATGAGGAACTGAAAGAAGGCCAACATGACTGGTGCATAATGAGAGAGAGGGTGGCACTAGATGAGACTGGAAAATTGGGCAGAAAGGACAAAAGTAAGGACGTTGGTCTTTAGCCTACAAACAACTAATAAAGGATTAAATAGGAGAGTAGCATGCTCATGTTTATGTTTTAAGAAGTTCTCTCTGGTTGCATTGTAGGAAATAGATTTAAGAGTTTTGGAAGACGGTAGATTAGGAGTTAGAAGCATAGTGCAGGAAATCCAGGCAAAAGATAATGGTGGCAGAATGCAAACAGAAATCTGTGCACCAATGTTCATTGCAGCACTTTTCACAATAGTCAAAAGTTGGAAACAACCTAAACATCCATCAACAGTTGAATAGACAAAACGTGGTATATAGATACAATGGAATACTACTTAGCCATAAAGAGAAATGAGTCCTGATACCCGCCACAACATGGATGAGCCTTGCAAACGTTATGCTGAGCAAAATAAGTCAGTTGCAAAAGGACAATACTATATGATCTCACTTACATGAAATAAGCTAATATATAGAAACCAAAGATGATTAGTGGTTACTGCAGATGGGAGGGAGGGGGAAAGCGAGAGCTTTTGCTTAGGTGGCATTGAGTTAATGTTAACAGTGGGGGTATAATTTGGAAAAGGATAGTGATAATAGTTGAACAACATGAAGAACATAATCAATGTCACTGAATTATGCATGTAGAAACTGTTGAATTGGCGACTGTTTTGTTATGTATATTTTCACTACAAAAAAGAAAAAGATAATGGTGGCGTAGTCTAATATAATAACAGTGAAGGTAGTTGATAGCCAGTGCAGCCAGGAGCTGCTTGTTGTTGTTGGTAGGTGCTGTCGAGTCAATTCTGACTCATAGCGACCCTATGTACAACAGAATGAAACGCTGGCCAGTCCTGTGCCATCCTCACAATCATTGTTATGCGTCGGTTGTTGCAGCCACTGTGTCAATCCATCTCCTCAAGGGTCTTCCTCTTTTTTGCTGACCCTCCACTTTACCAAGCATGACATCCTTCTCCAGGGACCCATCCCTTCTGATAACATGCCCAAAGTATGTGAGATGTAGCTGCCTAGCCATTATCAAACAAAACCTTAAGCGATAGCACTGGGCGTGGCTCAATTAGCAACTGCTCAGACCAAGAGGAACCTGCCCCCTCCTGTCCATTGTCCTCAAAGCACTGTGTGTAGCTCAAGTCAGTCAAACCCAGTTTACTAGCCTACATGCCAAAGAAAAAAATGCAATTTGTCTTACTGTGAGTGCATGCCATGATAACCTATGTAGTCCATAATGTTTGTATGTACTTCCATGTGAGAGCCGGTGTTCTGGATTGAACTGTGTCCCCCAAAGATATGTGTATCGGTTTGCTAGGTCATGATTCCCAGTATTATGTGATTGTCCACCATTTTGTCATCTGATGTGATTTTCCTATGTGTTATAAATCCTATCTCTATGATGTTAATGAGATGGGATTAGTGGCAGTTATGGTACTGAGGCAGGACTCAATCTACAAGATTAGATTGTGTCTTAAACCAATCTCTTTTGAGATATAAAAGAGAGAAGCGAGCAGAGAGACAGCGGGACCTTATACTACCAAGAAAGCAGCGCCAAGAACAGAGCCCGTCCTTTGAACCTGGGGTCCCTGCACCTGAGAAGCTCCTAGATCAGAGGAAGTTTGATGACAAGGACCTCCATCCAGAACCAACAGAGAGAGAAAGCCTTCTCTTGGAGCTGGCACCCTGAATTTGGACTTATAGCCTCCTATAGACTGTGAGAGAATAAATTTCTCTTTGTTAAAGCCATCCACCTGTGGTATTTCTGTTACAGCAGTGCTAGATAACTAAGACAAATGGTATAAAATGTTCTGCCTTCCTTTGTTCAGGGAGCTTGATTGGAGATATACACCTCCTTGCTCCCTGCCTGCACACTTGCAATGAACACTGTTCTTCCCTACTCACCTCAGTGTGTCTTTATTGACGAGAAGTTGCACTGAGTAGGACCTGCTTTGGGTAACAAATTCAGATTCTGGTGACCTAGATGGGACCAGCGCTACCCAACTCCTGAGGTTGCCTCCGGCCAACAGGAACTGACCACTTCTCCCACGTACACGCCAGTAATCTTTCTCTGGGGGAGATTCATTTTGGCCCTTGAGGCCAGAGCTGACCTCGGACCCCTCGGTGGCAGACTATGTGAGGAGGAGAGAGAATGGTGCCTGGTGCCCCGGGGAAGAGGGAAAAGACTCACTTGATGAG